TAATATTTATTCATATATATTTTTAAAAATAAGATTTTCTACTTTGTTTAATTTTATTTCTTTTATTCATTCTTTTCAATTTTTGTTAAATTAATTATAATATATATATATATATATATATATATATATATATATTATAATAATAACTCTAAATATTTTAACTTTTGAAAAATTCTGATAATCTCGAAAATTTATCAAAAATTGAGAAACCAATTTTATTTTATAGTGCCTAATTAAGAACCTCTAATTTCAATCAATTTTTAAATTTTTTTTATTAATTAATAAATTTAATTAATATATGCTATGTGGCTATACATCATTGGATAAGGCTAGGCCATGTGGTTGCTATGGCAGAAGAAAGCAATTTAGATTGTACATTCCTAGGAAGGATGATTTATGTTCTACCTTCAATACAATTTTGATGATTATTTATTTATTTATTTATTTATTTATTTTTAAAATTTTTGCATCGTATGATATCAACTAACAAAAGAAGATCATATATATACATTTACATACATACATATACCAACAATCTTGTACTTTTATGCAATCATTAATATGGTTATATAATTACACTATTTAGACTATCATAAAATTTATCATAAAATTACCAATATTCATTTCTTATGCATTATTATACCTTTATAAAATATTAAAAAAATTATATAGGTTTATTTAACATATTTTAAAATAAATAAAAAATATTTTTAAATATTTATTGTTTTTAATTTATAAAAATAAAAAAAATAATATTAATTATATATTTTAAGAGTTTTTATTTTATGCAAATTATTTTTAATGCAGCATTTTTAAAAGAAAAAATTGTATTTAAAAAATTTAATGATGAATACTTATCAAAGTATGTATTTTCTAAAAATATATTCAATCAATTTCTTTTTTTTGATTTTTTTATGATAATATGGATATATAAAAAAATATAGATTACTTATGTCTATGATATAGTACATTCTTTTTTTTTAATAATCAAATACATTATTTTTTATTTAGTAATATGTATATTTTGCTATACAAATTATTTAAGTTTAAAATTAAATAGTTAGTACATTTCTTTATTCGTATTCTTTAATGCAATGATAGAATAGTTTAAAAGGACATGTTTTATTTATATTAAAGATAAAAATTAAATTTTTTTTTTTTAGTAAATTTAAAGAAATATATAACTCTAATTATAGTTCAAAATACAAATAACACTACACACGTTTTAGACCAAATAGCTTTACTTGTGCTATTTGAATTATCTTTCTTAGTGTTCATAAACATATATTCTTTATATTTAACATAGTCTTAGATCAATCCAAAATTGATCAAAAATATATTTGTATTTATAAGGAAAAATTATAAAAAAATTTCATATAAAATTAATTAAATTATATTTAGATTAGGATATATATATATATATATATATATATATATATATATAGCTTTAGTTTATTTTATTATCTTAGCGATTACTTTTATTAAGTAGACATAATATTATTTAAAGTAAATGGTATAATTATAAGTATAATTATATAATTATATAATTATTTATTTTTCTAAATTTATCTTCATTTATATATTTTTTAAATATATTTATAAAATTATTTTTATAAATTGTAAATTATATTAATATTTATTTTAGAAAATAATATTAAGTTCAATTTTTTTAAGTTGTTGCATTATATGTGTTGATAAAATTTATTTAATTTTTAATCTTAAAATATTGTAATATAATTGGAATTTTTTTAAACAAAAATTAAAAAATTATAAATAGTTGTAGTTGTATATGAACTTGATCCAAACTTAATAGGGTCAAGACAATAAATAGCTACTAACAGAAATTCAAATAGCTACTATGAATTTTAGTAGTAATATAAGTATGTAGCAAAGTTGTTATTATCTGCAAATTTTTTTTTGTTATTTTTATACTATTTGATGAAGAATTCTTTTAGAATTAATTTTACAAATAGAGTGTCTTAATTAATATTTAACTTACCTAAGCCTTAATTTTTATTTTATTTATATAGTTTTTATTATTATCATTAAAGTTGATATTTATTCAATCATATTTAAAGTAGTAAAATTTATATAAATCTTCTTAACATAGATTTTATCTATAACTAATCAACTTTTTCACAAAGAATTTTTCTTAAATTTAAAAGGTTGCAAATCAACATTTATAAAAAGATACAATAAATAAAAGTGTTAAATAAGCCTCTTTAACTTGTAATATAGTTTTGGTTGAACTTTTGAATTATCAAATTGTAGACCAACTTACGTTCAAAGTATTAAAATTCAAATTGTGGAATTATTGATAAAATAATAGAATTTAGATAGAAGATACTAAGTTTTTATGTCAATTTTTTGTTCCATAAATTTATAATTTAGATAATTTTGTTGATAAAAATATTCTTGTGGTCATTGGAGATTAGTACTTTATTTAATTTAATTTTTTAATAATAATAATAATAATATATAATATACTAATAAGATAAATATATTTAACAATAAATAGGATTTTTTGTAATGAACGATGTTTTTTTATCATAATATAGTGTGTTAAGGTTTTTAAAGTAAAGACACTTAAATTAAACTTATACTTATTTTTTATTCTTTAATAAACTAAATCACTTATATTATAAAATGAATGCTTCAACCATTTTGTGATAGTTTTGACAACTTTTAAGTGAAGTTGGTTTCAAATGGCATGATATATATATATACATACCTACTTATGATATATGTTAGAAGTATAGATGCTAATATTTCAATATATTTTTTTGGTTGATAATAAATATATTGATCATTTTTTTGAGGTTTCTATGTATATATATATATATATATATATATATATTTATTTATTTATTTATATGTATACATATACATATATAATATGTTACAAATTTTAGATTAAATCTAATACCAAAAGACATATAATAATTGATAATAGATTTATACCATCTTTGATTTTGGCCAAAATAGCATAAAAAATAAAATAATTTGTAATTATAATTTTCATGAAATTTCTAATTTTAAATTAATTTAAAGACATCAATTAATTAAATCTCAAGACACATAACTACTAATATTTTATACAAAAAAATATTATTGAACAATTCAACTCAATGTCATTTTTTATTGCTAGACAATATACATATATTTAATAAATGTTACAATTTTGATTTTAACAATTTCAATGAAATTAAAAAAAAATCTAATCCTAAAGAACAACTGTAAATTCACATGTATCATAAACCATTTGTGGTTCTAAGTTTTGTTGAGTAATCACTCAAAAGAAGATGCATTTCAATGTGTCCGTTGATTTTTTCAATTATAGCAATTTAAAACATTACATTCTATAAGTTAGGTGATTTTTGTCACAATATATATTCCATCTTTAGTTCCCCAAACCACTCTTTTCCAATTCAATCTCAAATAACACCTCATTTTTCAACACAACAGATGCGGCATAAGCAAGTAAAACGAAGAGAAGAAGAAGAAAAGGGGGTGGGGGTGCACTAGCAAGCAAGCAAGCAAACAAGCAACCAAGCGAGTTATGGCTTTAATGAGGCAGCCAAGTGACGTAGTGTTGGGTTCCTTCGGACAGACATGTCCCAGGTGGAGTTAGTCTTGTCCTCGTCCGCCAAGAGTGACAGAGAGACAGAGAGAGAATAATAATAATAATAATAGTAATAATAAAAGACGAGGACAATGATGGCAGCAGCCTTCCCCCCTCTGGACAACTTGCTTCTCCGTTAATTGGATTGGAACCCCCATTCTCCCCGATTCTCTTCACTGTGTGTGTGTGTGCAGCTTCATATGAGGACATTCGCTGTGTGATCAACATTTGATGTTGAAGAAATTTGGGATCGAACTTGCTGTTACTGTAAGGAATGAGCGAGATCCCTCGACGCCTTGCATGGTTCCTGGCCTATATTCAACCGCTAGTGCGCGTGAGGGTGGATTTTTCCCCTGGCTCACTGAGTAGGTAGCTCATGAGAATCTTAGTCTTGCGCCAGCTCTGGAACTTGCGTTCCGGAGGGCAAAGCCAGCAGAATCTTTGAGAGTTACGGATCACTTACGGCCGGATTGAGTGCCCTTGGTATGGTGGCCGCTGCAACTAAATCGAGCGGACTGCCAAGCATCACTGACCTGAAAGAGCGGAAGAATCAAGGTCGTAAGATTGCGATGATCACCGGCGACGACAAGTTGGCAGAACCTATGATAGAGACTGACAAAGCAGCCCGGGCGACATAAATAACCAAAACAACTTGTTTGATATGCAAAGTGTCTCTATTTCATGGGGGAGATGTCAGACAGGATGCGAGAAGCTATTGTAGGTCCCCGTAGAGTCTTAGATGATGCTCAAGTATCTTCTACCCGAGCTCCAACAGTCGGCTCGGCGGTCCTTGAGGGGTGCCAATCACGGACGGAATGCTCTCCTAGTGGGCCCGATGATTCGAAGCGTCTATTCTTGAGCTGGTCAATTTTAGCCTCCGCCTCCAAGCCCTCGACTAGCCAATGGCGTTTGCCGCATTAAATCTTCTCCTCTGGGAACCTAAGGGAGAGTGATGGATGCTGGGGCCTGAGCCAAACACTTTTGGCACATGGAGAGTCTGTAGTGTAGATTCTGTAGTGGCGGGATCGACGGGTGTCGAGCAAGAATCACATTGATTATATGGTTTGGGTGCACTGCCATGAAACGTGGATAGTAAAGTTTCAACCAGCTTCTGGTCTGAGTGTTGTTTGTTGAAATTTTCGCTTCCTAAATCTTGCGGAAGCGCAAACCTCTTTCTGCGGGGGGAGTGCTTCAAGGATGCGAATCCGAGCAAGAGCGCCTCATATTGAGGTGTAGCATTGTGTTCGAATGGTTTGTCTTTCCCCGATCGAACTATCCTGGTCCCATGCGCAGTTTCTGGGGCTTTGCAACAATCGACATGTTTACCTAGGATTAGGGCTTTGCATTCAGAGGCAATGCTAAAGAAGAAGCACATGAATGCGAAGGACTTGAACGTGAGGCAATGGAACGGATCTGAGCTACGTATTACTCCTTCACCTAGACCCGTGTTCATCGTCTAATACTGAAGTGGTGGTCCTTGTCAAACTGCTGCATACTTGACGTTTTGACAGCAATAGTCAGTATCTTGTGGGGTTTAACTGAAGCAGTTCCTGCTGAGGAAAGCATCAAAATGATGGACAAACTAATGAGAAGCCTGAGGTATGTAGCCATCCCTGTCTTGAAGTTCACCCCTCAGCGGTCATTGTTTGAATCCAGGCAAAAGGATCATTCGCCAAACCTTTAGTGAAAGCTGGTGTTTTCCGCAAGAAATGACCAAATGATCCCTCCTAATTGTGTGCTACAGACCGAGGAGAGTTGCGGTGACGGCAACTGCGCCAGTGGCGCGGCGGGAGCGCGTAGAGAGGCTTTTGATGGGTGTAGTCATGATAGGGAGTGTTGTGCAGCTGGTTGCCGGTAACTCCTACGACCAGTCTCAAAAACTGACAGCATGTGACACTGGGGTACACAATTGCTACCAAACGCGGCAGATTGCGCCCAACATGTGGGGCCTGATCGTGACGCTCGTGAGTTTGACGACTGATGCTTGGGGATTTGCATCATCTTCGGAGTTTGCCTGGCGGCTACTTCTCGTTTTCGTCGCGGGGCCGATCATGCCTGTGTGGAGCTTAATTGAAGTGCTTGGTAAAGCTTTCGTAGGTATGACATTGACAAGTAAACTTGGGAGATCCACACTAACAGTTGCCAAGAGCAATTCTGCGAACATCATCGCACAATGCGATGTGCTTTTAGGTATGAGTGAAGACGCTGCAACAAGGTTTCCCTTGATGCACACGGAACAAAACTACACCATCGACGTTTTGTTAACTCCGCTTGAGGTCGGCAATCGGCGTGAGAGTGAGGCATTGGTCTTGCTCAATGACCGCGGCAAGGAGGCCCTTCTGCGATCCAATGTTCTGCCAAAATATGAGCAGTTGCGCTTCTTGCAAGGTTACAGCGGGCTCGCCATCGCTGTCTCAGCCGCCCAAGCCACAGGCTACATTTTTGGGGTCATTTCTCGCGCTAGTCAAGCTTTGAATGTGACCCCCATCGAGAGAATTTGCATGGCGTTGAGCTTCATTGTTTTAGTGAAAGCTGGCTTGTACACAATCGCCAGCAGCTGTCACCACCCGCTGCTTCTGCATGTTCCACCCGAGCACGAAGAGAGCGTCCTCGAGGCCTGCAAAGACACCAAGTATGACGAACGTGACGAACTAATTGTGGAGCTCAAGACTCTCCTGTGCACAGAGCTTGTGTTCGCCCTTCTTCTCAGCCTTTCCATTGTTGCGATTTGGCACATCATTCAGGTGACGTTTTTCGACTCCCTGCCGAGTTTCTTCTTCGCCATCGGCCTCTTTCTACAGATGATCATTGCGCTTCTCATGTTCGGCAAGTCTGTCCGCATTCCAAGCATGCTACGCACGAAGTTTTGTTCCATCTCCATCGTCGCTCTCTGTTCTGTGGTGAATGTCGCGGCCTACTCGCTCGCCGTGGTTGCCACCGTCAAAAACTGGCACGCGAGCGGATTCAGCTTCCAAAGCCACCTTTCGAGCTCTTTGCCCCACATTGGCTGACATCTCAATTCGATCTGTACCGGACTAAACGGACTCAAACTCTCCTCAGCAACTTCGATTTCGTCTCCAATCATGTGTCATGATAGGCAATGCCGTCCCTTGCAAAACAATCAAATTTGAGCGTAAAAGATCAGCACAACTGCAACCTCAGAATTCGATTCTCCGTCTAAGCTTGGAAAAGGCGCAATGATCCTAGTAGAAAATATTGAAGTGAAGCGCAGTACTGCATGCTGATAATGAACAGAGCATGGTTAGTAGCTCCAAAATTTCCGTATGCAATGTCGTTTGTACTCATTCCTGACCTGCGGCATGAATGACACATCATGTGCTCGCCTTTGGGATCAGATCTAGCTACTTCCACTTCAGAGAGCTCTCTTCCTGAATGGCTTCGAGAATCCCAACCCAAGTTTTACATGTAAGACACCCCCCGATTCTTTGTACGCAATGTGTCTCGACTTGTATATGTTTCCTGTCTTGACCAGTATGCCGTTCAATCTCGTCAACCCAACCCTCTTTCAATAGAATTTAGAACAAAATCGACCTTTGTCGAAGTACTTGTCTGATTGAACGATATACCATATTGGTTGTTGGATGGTGGCGATGTTTTTGGTTCCCACCAACTTCTCTGCGATCAGATTTTAGTTGACAATCAACTATCATCACATGATGGTCCAACCTCTCATTGAAATATAAACATCTTAATCACTTTCTTTTAGAGTGAGATTGAAGCCCGCACCAGCCACCCTTTATCTGATGGAACTTGAAATGAAGCAGATCACTTACACACTTGACAGTTCTGCGATGCAAATGACACGTCAACGCTGCTGCAGATCAGAATGGTGAAACGGGCATGGCCAGGTTTAGAGTTCCACCAGAACGGATATAAAATCCCTCTTCGGATGGATTCATTCGCAACAATCCTATTGAAAAGACGTGGGCTTCGACTCAGCGAGTCCTCGAATCAACATTACCTTCAGTGAAAATTCTCTATCTGGGTACTATATTCTAATGGACTATACTTGAAGAAAGTATAGCTTCTTCAGGATGTTATTATCAGTACCGATGTGTCTGTTATAATCGCATGAGATGGAAGAATTCACTTCAGTTCCATTCATCTGGAAACATACTCCCGCGTTGCAACAACCCTCTTCGGCAACGAATTATAATTTTTTTGGATAAAGAGTTTTTTATTTTCAGGAAGGAAAGAAAGATAATTGTGAGGCATGATTAAATGAATGGAGTGTGGAAGTGGAGGAAGTGGGAGTGTGTGTCGTCTCGTCTCATCCTCCCCTCTTGCTCCACTTCCTCCTCCTCCATGACAGGATGAGAGCTTGACATCAGAGGTGGGGGTGGTGGCTGAGCAGACAGACATGGAGGCGAATTGCGCTGCCATGGAGGTAGGTGCAGCAGCAGCACATGCCATAGCTGAAGCTCAGGAATTAGACCCACAAAGACAATGCCAAGACCATGGAGCAGCATCGGCAGCGCTGCCATGGAGGTGAGCAGCAGCGGCAGCTGTGGATTGTGTTACAAAGGGAGCGAGGTACCTGACAGCTCCCAGCACATGTATCATTGGAGGAGAAGATGAATAAGGCAACCGTGATGTTACCATCTCAGGTGCTGTCTTTAAGTTCCCAAACCTTTTGGGGATTTCGCTGAGGTGTTGGCGTCACAGCTTTTTACTTTTTTCATGCCCGAGATGTTTTTGTTCCCAACCCCTTTTCTCTTGTCCTTCCAATCCCCGCTCTTTTCTTTTTCCTGCCCCGTGTTTTTATGTCTCCTTTATTTCTTTTGGCTTAGTGCTATAGAATGTATTTCTTTTAGCTCCTTTCTTTCTTTTCTTTTTTTAATTTTTTGTACAAAAAGAAATGTGATCCACATGTATACATTCATGTATATGTCATATTTGATTTTGATATAGAATATGAGCACAATTTAACTTGACATACTTGAATTAAATAATTTAAAATAAATATAATAAAAAATTAATAGAAATTTCAAAACATAAGTGTTGATATACTCTTGATATTCTCTTAATATTTCTGAATTAAATTCCAACGGTGTATAATAATTAAAGATATTCCTAATATACTTTTGACTTGAGAATTTAATTCAAGTATGTCAAGTTAAATTGTGCTCATATTCAAATTTAATTCAACTTGAAATATTAAATATGACAAATTTAAGAACTTTTTGAATTAAATATGTCAATATTAAATAGGAAAAATTTAATTCAACTTTAAATTTCTTATATTGCACGATATTAGAAATCTAAAAACTATATGTATAAAAAAAATTAAAAGCCATAGGTGTTGGATTTACTTGACTTAAGTATCTTAGATTTAGTAGCCTCTAATAATTCAAGCATCTATAATATAACTTTAGCTTTGTTATTTTATTACAAATATAATACACTTCCAAATATTTTATATGACATGCTATTTAAAGGTTCTAAGGATGAAATATACATAAAAATTGTATAATATAGATTTTAAAGTTGTATATCACTAGCAATCATTATTAGTTTTTATCCAAGGTTTACAAGTCTTTAGTCTATTATCCATTGACTTCACAATATTATATTTTCTTAGGTAGCAATTATTTTCTAATCCTAGCTAAAAAAGAAAATAGAGGACTATGACAAAAATCTTAAGTTAAAAAGAGAAGAAAATAAAATCATGAAGGCTTTTTTAAATTACTCAATTTTATTAAAAAAATTACTATTAATATATATATATATATATCTATTTTTAATTCTTTCTATTAACTATTTTAATTAACTTCTATTCAATATTTTATCTATTATTTTTTTATTAAAAATAATCTATGTTGATTTTTTCTTTTATTATGTCTGATTTTTCTACTAATTTAGTCATTGTTCTACAAATTAACCATTTATTATTTCTATAATCTTCAAATTTAAAGCATTGTTTTTTCTTTCATACCAACTTTATATTATTCTAAAAATTGTCTTCATCATATAAATTTAATACACTAAATATATAATATATTTATAACCATTTCAATTTCTACTTTACTACTATTAATTTCTTTCATTTGCTTTACTTATTTTTTCTTAAATAATTTTGTTTTTTATTTTTTATTTTTTTATACATGATTTTTTTTACTTAAGTTCTTACTTCAATTATTAGATGAACTGTATTCTAAGTTATATACAATTTTTAGGACTTATTCCAACCAACATAGATCAATAATTTTGTTTGTAATAAAATGACTTACAAGCAACTCATTGAATATATCTGTTTAAATTTAAAGCATAAAATTGAAATAAAATAAAATCCCAAAATAAAAAGATAGTAATAAAAAACTTTAAAAATATTATAATATATTTTTATTAAATAACTATATATATATATATATATATATTTACCAAGCTATTATATATATATATATATATATATATATATATATATAATAAGTAGCAAATACAACCTTGTATGTATATAGTGTGGATGTGAAATAATTAAAGATGTTCTAATATAAGTTGAACAAAAATTTTGGTGCATTAAATTTATGATTTTTAATATAATTTTGTAACTATTTTGTAACAAAATATTTGATTATTGTACTTATACACCTAGATTCATTAATTTTACTTGTTTTTTCAAAGTATTTTAATTGCAGCTAAAAATCTTATATTTTTCCAAAATGAATCTTTTTCATTATAGAGCTTCTATATTACTTTTATAATAGTAACAAACTTCAAAAAGAAGCTTTTTAAACCACATGTTATGTATGCAAGCATCTATAGGATTAGTTTGAAATTAAGAAGTTTTTTAGATGTTTCTTGAAGAAAATATCAATTATATGACATAATATTTAATTGCTCGAGCAATTAAATACATCAAATGTTAACAAAGATATAAGGTTACTTAGTTCATTTGACATTAATATCAAGCTTGAGTACCATAGTATATCAAATATAGTCAAAGATATAAGGTTGTCTAGTTCATTTAGCAATGATATCAAATTTGAGCAAAAAGATATTTTAAGTGTAATTAAAGATAAAAGAGTACTTAGTTCATTTTGAAATGATATCAAGTTGAACTCAAAAAAATATCAAGTATATTTAAAAATGTTAATTTTCCTATTTTATTTGACAATAATGTTAATCTTAAGCACTTAAAAATAAAAAGTGTAATCAATGATATAAGATTATTTAGTTCATTTGTTAATAATATTAAGCTTGAGCACTCAAACATATTAAGTGTAGTCAAAGATATAAGATTGTTTAGTTAATTTTTCAATGATGTCAAGTTTGAATGTTGAATTATTTTAAATGTAGTCAAAGATATAAATTGCCTATTTTATTTCGCAATGATGTCAAACTTAAGAAAGAAAATATATCAAGTATGGTCAAAGATATAAGGCTGCCTATTTTATTTGGCAATGATGTCAAGCTTGAGCACTTACTTATATTAAATATAGTCAAAGATGTAAGGTTGCTTGGATTATTTGGCAATGATGTGAAGTTTGAGCACTTAAATACATCAAGTGTAGTAAAAGACATAAGATTGTCTATTTCATTTAAGCAATGATGTCAAGCTTAAGCATGAAGATGTATAAAAAATATATAAAGTGTAAAAAATGTAAGGTTTCCTATTTTATTTGGCAATGATATTAATCTTGAGCAATTAGATATAAGAAGTATAGTTAATGATATAAAGTTGTCTAATTCATTTAGTAATGATATCCAGCTTCAGCATTCAAATATATTAATTGTAGTTAAAGTTGTAAGATGCCT